GAAAATACAATTAGAAGCAAAATTTCAGTAACAAAACCTCATGATATAATTGAAAATACAAAAAATGTAATTTATAAAATTCCTTGCGAATGCAATAAATTTTACATAGGAGAAACCTCAAGACCATTACACAAAAGACTCAAAGAACACCAATCATACATAAAAAACAGAGCATATCATAAATCACACATTTGTCAACATGCATTTGATAATTGCCATAAAATTCAATGGAATAATTCCACAATTTTAACAAAAGAACAATCTACAAAAAACGTAAAATTAAAGAAAGCGCGCTAATTTTACTAAATCAAAATAATTGTGTTGCTTCATGTTCATTTAATTTAAGTCATACATGGTTACCTATGCTAAAATTTGAAGTAGTCCAGAGAAACATACACCCAAATAAAATTTACACCAAAATTATTAATTAACCTTACCTTTATTAATTTAAACAATGAGATTAAGTCAAAGTAACATGACTGACAATTTGCACAGACGAGTTATCAGAGCGAATTTTCATATACTGTATTATCCTACTATTGTTACACAAATTTATTAACATACTCTTTTTTAGGTTCATTTAGGTTCTTTTGATAACGATAGCAGAAAATAGCTAGCGAAACGTCAAGGTAATTTTTCAAATTAATTTCTTTTCTAATTGAAATTTTCTCTTACAGCTTGAGGTTAAGTGTGTCGCAGGATACCCTCTAGGTGATAGTTCTTGATTACTTTTTGATAAATAATTCGTTCTTATTGCGAAATAGGAGCACTATTTATCAATCTGTAATAAAAGACGTGAGGAAATTCTGTCTTTTTTAAAGACAACAATTTTTAGGCGAAATACCCAACAAGAAGTTTGTAAAAAAATGAATCCGCCTCAACAATATAGAACTTATCTACAACTTAAGTGTGAACTTGCTACTTAACTTGTAGTTTAACCACCAGGGTGCGAAATCTAACGTTAAGAAATGAACGACATTGACAGCATAAAATGTCACTTACCGAAAACTGGAACATGGATGGATGACCCAATGACCGGAAGCCTTCTGTCGGATGCGTTCCTTCATCAGGGCCTTCTTCGAGCCGAACAGCTTCATGGCGAGCTTGTTGTCGGTGGGCTGGAAGAGCGCCTGGAGCTGGTTCTTCAGGAAGCTCTGCTTGCTGGTCTCGACCGAGCCCAAAGGCACCGGCCCCGGTTCCTCTTTGGGCGTCCCATAGAGCGACATGTCGTCCACTCCAAAGTGGACTTTACCGCTTCCTTTGTTATAGTTCATGTCGTTGGAGAGACAGTCAGCGATCAGCAACGTCTCATCGTCCAACGCGGTCACCAACGAGTCCGTACACGTGTTGGTATTCTCGATGCTGATCTTTATCGAGTCATCTTTGGCCAGCCGACGCGGCGGAGGAGAGCGGATCTCTTCCTCGGATTGGGCGGCTGCCACCCGCCCGTTTGCTAGCCGAAGACTCGGGGCGCGACGCGAGCTGGACCGACGCTCTTCGACGCCCTCGCCACCGCCCCCATCTCTACAACCAAAGGAATTCATCGTAAAAATACCACCGGACTCGACATCATTTGCCACCAAGGAAGAAAAGTCTTTCTTTAGGTGGTATCGGTTATCACCACGCGCTTTTCCCCCGATTTATTGGCCACTAAATTGCGCCAATCACCGAAGGTCGCCAGATATGAGCGGATACATCGTACGATTTATTGCTGACTTAGTGTTAGAAAGTATCGAAATTTATGTTGGTTTTAGTGAAATTGCACCAATTTATTGTGAGTGAGCACAAGATTCAAGGGTCAAGTCCATGGCAGCCAAGGAGACGACCTTCGATAAATTGGTCCACTTTATTTTTAAAATAATCGGGGAAAAGTGCGAAGTGTAATGCCGACATAAACGCTGAAACTGGGGCAACCTTTTCCCGCATAGTGAATGATGAGGAGGAGGAGGACGCTCGTTGAATAAACAGGCATTTTGGGTTTCAATGAAAGTGAAATTTTCAAAACGCTCCACCTCTTCAGCTGGATTACAGCCAAGAGTTTTTGCTCGTTAAGGCAAACATTGCGGGTCAATTAGCTAATTGGAGGGTCTTGGAGTGTTCGGGGTTTTTAGCGCGTGCAACTCAAGCCCAGCGTGGTTTTCTTAAGGTGGATCGATAAGCTGTTTATAATTTTTGAGGTTATTTGAGTTTGGTTTGCCCAGGAAAAATCAGTTCGCTCCTTTGGAGGCATACACATTTGGCTTTGGTTCATCTGCTATGGACTACGCATCGTCTTTAACACAAAAAAAACTGAACTTAAAGTATTGACATTTAAATTGCTTTTGCTGAAATTGCACCAATTTATTGTGAGAACAGTATGCAGGTGTAAAATCGATGACCTCCAATAATTAACTAACTTTATTGGCCAACAAATCGGGGAAAAGTGTGTAGGGCACCGGCATACCAGATGCTTCAACCTTTTCTGATTAAACCATGTATTTACTGTCCATCCTTCAGTCGTTTTCTTTAATCCACCTGGGCCATTTTCAATGCGTAAAATATATCGAAAAGCAAGCCTTGACGCTTTCTGAACACGAGATTTTTCAATCAACTGCAAAAAAATGGACTGCCCGACAAAAAGTGCATTAATTACACGGCACGTTAACCATAAGAAGTGTAAAGTTATTTCCAATCATACAGTCTAATGTAACTCAGAACGGCCAAATCAGCCGAATTTGCGAACGCAGCATGTCAATTTTAGGGGAAGCAAGTGCAATTTTATAACATTTTACCGAAAATGAGCCTCTTGGCTTGCTTTGATTTTCCGGGTTTTTATCGATTTCTGAATGATCCGAGAGGAAGTAAATGCAACGTGTATTTATGAAGCACTCTGTTCAAAAGTAGTTAAAATATATGGAAAATTTGGAACGCAGTATTGAGATTTGAGTCCATAGGGGAAGCACGGGTAATTATGCACTTTTCTACTTGTTTACATACGAGATTAAATTCCACAGCGTTTTTCTTTAGTTAAATGAGCGAGTAATTGATGATTTATGGAGTAGCAAAAATGCGAAAACATACATTTTCTATAGAATTTCGAATTTGGTCAAATTTGCCAGTCTTGATTGATGAGACAAGAATTTATTTACGTTTTTCGACCCTTAAGAGCCTATGCACATTTTTATCGATTTTTCAACCTTGGATGGATCATAGGGGAAGCAAGGGCACTTTCACTCAGAATGTTTAACAAAATCCAGTTGAAATTTCCGCAAAGTTTGGCACGCAGCTCTGATTCTAGCTTTTATTATTAGGGGAAACGCATGCAATTTGCCACTTTATTGATTTGTTTTCAGAAACAATGCGTTTTTCTGGATTAAAATCACTGGCTTAATGTGGAACGTAGCACTGGGATTTGAGATTAAAGTAAACGTAGGGGAAGTTGGGGCAGTCGACTCATTTTTTGTTAATGGTTTCGTAAGCAATGCTTCCAGGGAAAAGTATAGTTTTCATATAAAATAACCTCAATCTATGTCGGTTTTCGTTGTGAACCTGGTATTATCAATTGTTTCTAGATTGCTCGGATTTTTCTGATTTTAATCATTGGGGGAAGCCAGTGCAATTGTTCCTTTTCTCGTTTCTTCTTTAAACAAAGCCTGCCATTGAAATGAATAATTGTGTTCTCATCAAGAGACAAACATTCGTCGATTCCTAAGGACTCCATTGATTAATTCTAGGGTTCATTGTGTTGCTTCTGAGCAAATGACGTCGCCAGTCGCATAATGAAGGTGTCATTTGTCTCACTGATGTAATTTTTTGACATTTGGGCATTATTTATTGACAGCTCCCATTTACTTTCCTCGCCACTTCTGTCTAAAAACCAGCTCACATGCAGTTGGATGTAGTTTTCTTCCTGAATTTGCCAAGTTTTTCCGAAATTTTCAAGCAACAGTGTCAGCCTGAAGGAACATGGTGCGACTATTTGAACTTAATTAGTGGAAAATTGACTTTAAAAAAAAATTGGTACCTTATCGGTGGTGGGACTTGGCAATGGAGCCAATAGGTAAAGGTGCTGATTCAGAAAGCAGAAAATGCACAATGAACATGAGCGGAATGCGAAACAATTGAAGCTGACAAAGCACGACGGCGCGATTTGCGTACACTTAAGGCAATTGAATGGTAACGAAACGAACACTTTAACGGTCACGAACCAACTGATGGGAACCAGACCAGGCCCGCAAACCAGACAGTGGCTCGAAAACTCGAAATGTCCTTTAATTTCAATCAGGAAGATTGATGGGGATCGATGCAGGTGGGATGGTTTGAATGAAAGAACCTGCACCGACGCCACTGTGTTGGTACCTGGAAGATGGGGATGATTGATTAGAATCTGGATGTGACCTAATTGGTTCGGTTCTGGTAGCGTAAGTTGGAACCGAACCTGTTATGATAAATATCAACATTCCGCCGCTTTGATGCAGGCAACAATTTGGCAGCCAAATTATATGTTTTGGGTTCCACCTGCCTGCTAGCTGAAGTATTATTAAACTCTTCGTGCAAAGCTCGCAAAGAGGATGTCATTAAATTACAGTCATTATTCGGTTTCTCCAAAAAATTGCAATTTAACCAGTAACGAGCATCTATTGCGAACATGGTAATGTTCGCGAAAGCTCCAGGATGTTTGCGAATGCCGACTAGCAGTGAGAGAAAAAGTCTTGCGAGGACGCAACTGTTTTCTCTCAAATCAAGATTTGCCATCTGCTGTTGAAAGTTGGTCCATTTTTTTGATTAAAACCACTAATTATGTGTGTATTTGCAATTGTCTTGGCTATCCAGAGTTGACAGATCTGCGAAAAAAACTTATTTTTCGGGTGTTGTGTGKGCTCTAGGGTTTAGTGAAAAAACTTTTAGCGCTTTAAACCTCAGCGCTCTCCTAAAAATTGACAGTTTTGCCTCCATTTCTTTGGAGGTTTTAGTMATTTTTCCCAAATTTGTAMKGATTTTCGAGATATGCGATCTGCGCTATTGCCGTGTTGTAATAATATTTGACGTCAATTTGACGTTCTTTATCCGTCATTTCTTTCAAGCTATTTACCGGCGTTTGGCTTAGATATCGAAGAAAAATTGTTGATCACTATCACCGAATTTATTTACAGTTTTGGAGGAGGATTAATGTTTTTAATATTACTGATATTTTTAGATAACCATGTATAAACAACATAACAATAGAATATACACAATATTTTTTCATTCACATCTATACAGGGTGATTCAAAATTGGCGTCATTCCTCTCGAGGTGTTGTCTGGCGCTGTTATAGGAGTG